CAGGACAGAAGTTGGACCTCATCATTCTAACCCAAAGGGTCCAAAGCAAGTGTATAGTAGACTGTAGGGTCTCTATCATAGGAATTGGTATTATGATTGGGGAAGGTATCCCCCATAACAGTACCTAGGACCCTTTGGGTAATTTCTGTGCTTGCGCATTGGGGATTCCCGGGATCAGCGTCGGCTACATAAACATCTTACTATAGGGGCCTAGACACTTGCCAATTCTATTTTGGGCTTCCTTATTCTAGATTTAGTATAATTAATGGACCCAAAACCCTATTCTAAAAACAATGCCCCTATATTACAAAGTTTTCTGATTCATCGTGTATCATACGATACTTCATCGTTTCATATCTGGCGATGACAACAGATTTTGCGTCGCCTCTCATCACAACGTTTCATTTTCGACTATTGTTTTTTGTATCGTAGGCTTGCTTCGTTTATCTTCTCTTCTCGTCTGATTTGCATTCGGTTACAATCCATTCCATTCAAACCCTATTCTAATTATTGAGGCCCCTATATTACCAGGGGAAGGCCGGAGGTTTCTCAACTTGCCGGCCTTGAACCACCCCAGATGGGTGGTTGTCGAAATTATGGTCCCTTTTTGGGGTCCCCATCATAATACGGCACCTACTATTTAGGGATCTATAAGAGTATTATGCATCTGGGCGTATGATTACCTCTACTATTTAGGGTGCCCAAAACGGGGCCATAATTTTGACAACCACCCCCGATCGGTCTGCATATCCCCTGAGCCTCAAAGACCCAAGACCTCCAACCTAGGCTCGCCAGACCCCACTCAGAGACTCCTTTAAAGGGATCTTAAAGGGTTCACACAGAGGTTCTTGTAAGGGGTCTATAGGGTTTAGGGGATAAAAAAAACCTTTAACAAAGGAATAGATGGTTTTTTAAGTAGGATCCCTAATATGATTTAGGGTATATTCCTCAATTAACGGAGTCTCAGGGCAGCTGTCAATATCCCTGAGCTGAAACCGGAGTTTCCCCTGACCAAGGCCGCCAGCATGTGTCCCCTAGTAGTAGTAGTAGTAGTAGTAGTAGTAGTAGTAGTAGTAGTAGTAGTAGTAGTAGTAGTAGTAGTAGTAGTAGACTAGGTAACCTTTAACTTTTTTGGTGTAGTTTAATCCCTATATAACCCCTGCATAATCAACAAGGTTAGTAGTGTTTTGTAAAAATACTATAAAATCAAAAAATGTTAACCTTTAGTTCCCCATGATACCCGACAAGTAGCGTCTTTAAGCCGACTTCATTCCTTCGTCGACCCCGAAGCAGCGAAAATGGAGCTTGTTTTCGTTGTTAGGTTTAGGAGTTTAGGGGTTTAGGGTTGGGGGGTTTAAGGGTTTAAGGCTTGGGGTACTTGTAGTATTAGTAGAGGCAGAAAGTTGGAACATGGCTTTAGCAGGATTAGTGCTAGGACTTTACTTGAGGGCATGAGGATAATGATGTTCCAACTTTCTGGCTCCTAATTACTGTAACCGGAATTACCATAATAGGTGTCTAGTCTATAAACGGGGCTTCCTTCTTATGGCAGCTTAAAGCAAATACCTTTGCAAGAACCCAGAGTAAGGTGCGAGCGGCATTGGGCTCGCCGCCAGGTGTCATGGCTGTCAGTGCAAGGGTTAAGACATGTGTGGGTCTGGGACTTCAACCTTTTGGGGGCTACCCACAGGCTTACTATACGGTGGATGGACAACATCCTGCGTGACCCCCAACACGACAAGCATGTCATTGTCAACAGTCGAGCTCCCCGCACCCCTCTAATTTCAACGTTGCCCGAATGGGTTGGTGATGCAGGATTTCGGTCATTCGCGCTTATGCCCCTTCTAAGTGCTGTAAGGAGCCCAATTTCAAGATTCAGGGTTTGGATTGGAAGGGATAACTGACATAAGGAAAACGATGCAGGATTTCGCCCATCAACAGTACGCAAAGTTGTCGAGTGCAGTGGCATCCCTGGACGGTACCCAAATTAAGTTGTCGAGTGCAGTGGCATCACTGGAATCTGCTTCCAGCCTCTACTTGTTTGCCCCGGCCAAGTTTCAAATTCGAGTATTTCCGGCGCAAGGATGGCAGGTTGTGCAGGCACGCCAAGCTCCAGACAGCAGAAAGAATAGTTGAGGTACCTGAATTTGGGGTCCTTGCAATATGGATCCTTCTATATTTAGGTTACTAAAGTAGGGTCCCCTGTTTTTGAGCGTCAAAACCCTAAACCCTAAAACCCTATCAACCCTAAGCCCTGAGCCCTGCAATGCGGGCTTCGTCCTTGCTAGGTAGGAGGAAACAAACCCTGAACCCTTAAGACTTTGTAGACCCTCAACTGTAGGCCCAGCGGCGTGGGCGGCGAAAGCCATGCCGAAGCCCTTCCCTGGGCTTCCGCCAAGCCACCCTGGCCTTCCGGGACTGCGGCTGTGAAGGTTTGTAAGGTCTAAGGTTGAGGGTTTAGGAGTTTAGGGGTTAGGGGTTTAGGGGTTAGGTGAGTGTGTCGGATTGGGGGTTAGTTTAGTGTTGAGAATTTAGGGTTTATGGCCGAGGTTTGCGAGGATCATATGTGGAGTTTTTTGGTAAGGGGTTTTCAGTGTGTGTACTGTAGGGTGAAGGGATTTGGGGGCTATTGTTTCAAACGGCTACAGGGGGTTTAGTAGTGGGAATGACCAAGTCTACGATGACAGGACTAGCTGTCAGACAGAAGCAGCACCATCCAGATAAATGCCAGAACCAGAACCGCGATCAGTATCAGCATCATGGGAACCACCGCTAGTATCACAGCTATGGAACTTAGGGTAGTATCCAATCTGATATCAGTAACTCCAATAGCAGCGACGACACTCTCAGCGAAACCAACAAGATACGTGTTCTCATCATAATGAACTTCCTTGCTGCTGCGATCAGAAATCTTTGCAAGCCGCGGTGTCTTGAACGCAGTGATGTAGAGACGGTTGCCGTACTATAATCAACAGACCTGCAAGACCCACGATACCATAGCCATGAGGCGAACACAAAAACCGAAAGATGATGCTGCAACAGCATGAGCTGGTTGCTCCCGACTCAATGACTGCGGGCTTTCGCGTTGAGTGTCCTTCGACCACGATACGTAAATGTCCTGTCAAACCTTGGCGACGTAAAGAGATTTTTGAACCTTCAAGCTGCAAACTTGCGACCCTCATACTCTGTATGCCCTATAGTGCTATCCGTCGCGACACATTGTTCGAACGCTTCTAGCTGGGAAACAGGATAGCGCCGGACATACGCTCTGGGCAGCATGACAAGCACAACAAAGCTGCAGAACGTGATGTAGCCCAGTCGGATATATCTATGAGGAGCACTATTTGAGCTTTACTTAAACCACTGCTGCTGCAACTCACTGCTGCTGCTATTCCGTCCACTACTGGTACTACAACTGTGGCTGCTGCTACTCTTGACGACGACTAAGACGATCACGACCACTACCACGACCACGACTACGACGACTACTACTTCCACTGCTACCACCACCACCACCACTGTTGCTTCTACCTGCGTTTCTACTGCTGCCTGTGCTACTGGGTATCTTGTGTTCGTGTCTCACTACCGCATCCCGAAAGAAGAACTCCCAAACCCCCAAACTCAAACTCGAAGCCCTAAACCCCGACACTTGCCTGCTTATTGCGAGTTCCGAGTGCTGAAAGCCCGAAACCCTAAACCTTAAACACCGGAATCCCTAGCCCCCAAACCCTACACCCTAAAACCCTAAAGCCCTGAACCCCTAAACCCCTAAGCACCTAAACTAAGCCTTCAGGACTCCAGGGAACCCTAAAGGACAGTAAACGACATGAATTGGAAACCGGATTGAGGCCAAATAGTGCTGGGATTCCCTATACAACACTCTTAAGGATTGAGGCTATTGGGTTTCCAACTCTTGGGCTTCTACTATAAGCCCTAAACCCGTAAACCCCTAATCCCTAAACCCCTACACCCCTAAACCCCTAAACCCTTAATCCCTAAACACCTGAAACCCCTACACCCCTAAACCCCTAAATTAATCCCTAAACCCCTGCACCTCTACAGGACACCTCTAAACCCCTAAACCCCTAAACTGAGCCTTCAGGACTCCCGGGCCCCCACTAAACCCTTCTACAGTACACCATTGGGCTTCTACCACGCGCCTTCAGGACTCCCGGGCGGCTTTCCGTATCCCGGCCTCCCTGGGCTGCGCCCGCAGCTGGGCCTCGGGAGTCCCGGCCTGGGGACTCGTCCGCCGAGCTATGGATCCTTGGTATTTGTTGCCATTAGGGTTTAGGGTTTTAGGGTTTAGTGTTTTGGGGTTTAGGGTTTTAGGGTTTAGTGTTTTGGGGTTTAGGGCTTTGGGTTTAGGGTTGTGGGGTTTAGGGTTTTGGCTTTAGGGTTTTGGGGTTTAGGGTTTTGGGGTTTAGGGTTTTGGGGTTTAGGGCTTGGGGGGTTTAGGGTCTTATTTTGGGGTCTCGTTGGTAAGACAGAATATTAGGAAACGGGGTAGCTTTATTATGAAGAGGGTTACTAAGGAATCCTTGGGCAGCGGTGTAGGGTTGAGGGGTTTTAGGGGGTTTTGGGCTTTAGTTTTTTAGGGGGTTTGGGTTTAGGGATTTAGGGTTCAGAGGTTTAGGGTTTAGAGCTTTAGGGTTTAGGGGTTAAGGGTGATTGGATGTTTGGGATTTAGTGGTTTTGGGGTTCGGCGTTCAGGCTTCAGGGTTTAAGGTCCAGGGTTTTAGGGTTTGGGGCGGGTGGGGAGGGAGAGGGTTTGCAGGGCTGAATCTAAGCTAAGCGTCGATGTGCCTCAATCAGGTGGGGCAATACTGGCCTATCGAGGCCAAAGCTATTTGCTTAACCATGGGCGTCTGGGCTCGTTTTCGATACCAGACTACTGATGATTTAAATCCTGCATTACCTGAAGGACCCTTACACTATGGGAATGCAGGCATATACGTCATTATAATTATGGGCAATTCAGGAATTGTATGGGTGGCTTTCAAAATTATGGGCCCTCTTTGGGTCCGTATCATAGTACGGCACCTACCATTTAGGGTACCCGAACAGGGGCCATAATTTTGACAACTACCCATATCTCCCTAAACCTTTTATAGAACCCTTATGGATCCCCTTAAGGAACCCTTTAAAGGAACCCTAGGGACCATAATTTTGAACGTAAACCTTGCAGGAGCCCAGAGGGAGTCCTTGCAGGAACTCTTTGCGTAAGCCTCAATCACGGTACCCTTAAGGGGGTTAGGGTTTAGGGTTTAACCCTCAATCACAGTACCCTTAAGGGAACCCCCCAGAAGGAACCCGATTATAGTATGGATCCCTTAGAGGAGCCCTCACAATAGTACCCTTAAAGGGGCCCGTAGTATAGTACCCTGAAGGGAGCCTTACAGAACTTAAACCCTAGACCCTAAACCCTAAACCTGAAACCCTAAATCCTAAAGTATAGAACCCTTACAGGGAACCCCAGCCTATTATAGTATCATCTAGTATAGTGCCCGTTCAGGAGCCCTGAGTACCCTTATAGAACCCTAAACCTTAAACCTTAAACCCTAAATCCTTGAACATTGTGTTATGGACGCATGGGGGCGTTTGGACTGTACTGCGGAAGCAATCGTATGGCATCAACTTAGGCTACACCTCCCCTGCTGGGGGCTGATCCTTAGTCCTGCACCGATTGAGGGTCTCTACGGCTGAGTTCGACTTAGTCTTTTCGCACATCCAGTTCAGGTCTTTTGGGTTTGTTCCTGGTTCTTGACTTCGGGCTGTTTTCTTTGGACATAGTCTCTTGGTTTCGGCGCCTTGGCTGCACTTATTTGGAATTCATGCTGGACTGCCTTGCTGGACTGCCTCCCTTGCCTTTGCACTGCCCTAGTTTATCCCTTTTGCATGCCCTTGCCTACTGCGTGCTGCTTCCTTTCTGATGATGCATGGGTGATGATCATGAGATCGCGTGGTCGGTGTCAGTCTGCCTCACCTCACTCCCACATTTACAAGCCTGAGCTTATGCCCTGCTTTCCCGACTTCACCCCAAACCACTATCCCTCGCCCGTGCCATCCAGCCATGACTCACTTTGCGGCGTGCCACCTTCGCTGCATCACTGTCACGAGACTCTCCAGGGCCTATCGCTATGGAGAGTTCTGGATTTTGGAGCTGGATACATGACCTCTGCTGCGTGTGCTCCCTGAGGAAGCTAGACGGGAACCCGCTAGACCTCTGCCTTCAACCGGTCAAAGACTGCCGGAGTTTACCGGTCCTGCCTTGCCAACGCTTATTTGCAAATGCGCTGGAGTGTACACATACGGTCGGCTTGGTCACACACCCGCCGCAATGACCGTCACCTTCAGCCCGTGGGTATGTTTGATCTGTCACCAATGCAGGTGCAGCCTGCATGAGCATGCATCATACATGACAGGTTGAGGACTTTCGTGAATGGCTTGACCAAGTGTGACTGAGATGGCTCCTTTGCAAGTTGAGCAGCAACCGTTCGGTCGGGAGCCCGCATCATAGCACTGGTTGTCGGTGTCTGGCCTGCTGTCCTTGAAGAGTGACTGTAATGCAGTAAATGTGATGGAGACCGCTACGTCCTGACATTGCTGCATACTCCGGTTCGAGAACTTCTGAGCATGGGTACCAATGAGTGAAGTGTGTCGTCGGCTTGGGAAGCCTTGTACATGCCGTTGGAGTGAGGTGCACGTCGAGAGTGATTGCATGCATGGCCAGTAATTTTGAACCCGCCCACACGTAAACCCTAATCTGAGACCCTGTGCATGCTGTCGGAGTGACGTGTACGTCTTATGTAGTTGCATGCATGACCAGTGTACTGGAAAACCGCCTAATTTCAGTTTCTTTGCAGTGGTTTCACACTTCTGTTCTCGGTGTGGCGTCGATACACGCGAGTTCGCTATACTGTATATCCTGTCTGCCTTCTTTAGGAGCTCCTCCTGTAGCCCCGTCTTTCATGGCCTTACCTTGTGTTGGCGCTGTTTCCTGTTGGGATATAGGAGGGACTCTGCTTCTCCAATGTGAGGAGCCTTTCGCACTCCCCTGGTAGCACGAAGTCTATGGCCTTACCTTTTGTTTCGCTGTTTTTCTGCTGCTATCGGGGAGTCCTGTAGAAGTTCAGTTGCCGACCAACAACCTCGTCTGGATTGTCCGAGTTGCGAGAGCGTAAACCCTAAATCCTAAAATATGAAACCCTTACCCTTATAGAACCCTGAACCCTCACCCTAAACCTTAAACCCTAAACCCTAAAGCCTAGAACCCTTAAAGGGAACCCTATGGGAAAAGCCCAGGACCCGGACTTCCAGACCCACGGGAGTTGGCGACCCTCGGCGCCTCCTTGGCGAACCCAAAGTTCCTGGGCTGTGGGTGCTTTTAAGAAGGGCTTAGGGGATTTAGGGTTCAGGGTTTATAGTTTATAGGGTTCCTTCAGATGTCTTTTTTCAGGGTTCTTGTATGGGTTCATTGCGCGTTTATAATCTATAGGTTTCCGGGTTCCTTCAGATGTCTTGTATAAGGCTTCTTGTATGGGTTCATTACGGGTTTTTGGATTTGGGGTTCGAGAAAAGGGTTTAGGGCATCGGGGTTTGGGGGGGTTGCGGGTTTTGGGGATATCGGGGTTTTTGTGCTTTCGGGGTTTAGGGCTTGAGGGCTTATGGGCTTAAGGGGTTAAGGTTTGATTCTAGATTCTAAGGTCGTCCGAAGGGTTTGTGTATCAAGCTTTCTGCCATTCGGTGTCCGGCCTTTTAAGACTGACTTAGTGTTTTCAGAGTTGTGTGTGTTTTAGTGAGAGCTTTAGGGTTTGAGTCTAGGAGTTTGGAAGTGAAGGTTGGGATGTTTTGGGTGCTTTGGGCTCAGGTATGAGGTTGGCTTTTGTGATTTAGGGCACGGGGTTTAGGGTTTCTAGGGGTTTAAAGGTGCCGAGCTTTAGGCTTTAAGTTCCTGCACTTGGGGGTTTATATGGGTTTAAGGCCTCTTGGGTTGAGGACTGGGAGTTGAAGCTTAAGGGTTTGTAGGGGCTTCAGGTTTCTAGGAGTTGTAGGTTTGTTTTGATTTGGGTGGTTTAAAGCTGAGGGTTTGCGGTGTTCGCGGTCTGGACTCTTTGTGTTGAATTCTATTCTGTGCCATTGTCTGCAAATCAATGGGTGTTCCGGCAGCCGGCAAGCCCAGTTTCAAGCCTGGTCCGTGTCTTTCGGGAGTGCCGATGTGTGTATCTATACATGCCCCGCTATCACGCTCGAGTATGCTACGTGTGTCGAGCTCCCTTGGGAAGTTCGGTTGCCTTTAGGGTTGATGTGTTGAAGGGTCTCTGGTCTGTTGGCTGCAGGTTTACAGCCTTAGGGGTGAACGCTTCTGGCTGTTTCCGGTTTAGAGTTTAGGGTTTACGGGCCACTAGACTAGGCGGTTCAGGGCTTGGGAACCCTAAAAACCCTAAACCAGAAAACCTCGAGGGTTTAAGGCTCAGGGTGCTCCGGCTTTGAGGCCCTGGTTTGGCTGATTCAGGTGTTAGGCTCGAGTGCTTCAAGATCTAGGGAATAGTGGTCCAGGATTCTACTGGCTTGCTAGTTTGGGGGTTTACGATTGAGGAGCTCAGGCCTTACAGGGTTTAGGAGCTAGGTGTTTTCGCGCTTGAAGGGGCTATGGAGTTTGGACATTTCGGTGTCCAGAGTTTCGTGTTCAGGGCTGGGGTACTGTACTTCTGGCTTTAGCTAGTTGCTTGATCCTGGCGAACAACGATGAACCATAAGCCCTACCTAGAGGAACCAGGGCCATTACCTTCACGAACTGGGGGGCTTTCCGTGTTGAGAGTTGTGTTTCCTTCCCAAAGGGTCCTATGTACCGATATAGTAGAATGTAGGGTTTCTATATTAGGAATGACTATTATGACTTAGGGCAGTATCCCTCATAACAGTACATAGGACCCTTTGGGCTTCTCCACAACGGTTCTACAAATATATTCTGCCTGTTGATGACTCTCGTTGCCAGGCCCAGAGCAAGAAACACAGAGCTCCTATATCCTAAACCCTACAACGACTATAGGCTAAAACCCTAAGCCCGTATATCGCAGTGGTGTCTTTTGAGAAGTTGAGGAGATTGTATAGTACACTCACTGTCTCGCTCGTAGTGTGTCGTTTCGTTTCTTTCTCTTACTCCCATGGGGGTGAAGAGGGCCATCAGCCTGCTGGGAGGGTTGTCTGGGTCTTTCCGAAAATTAGGGGTACTTTACTTTGGGTTCCTTATGATGCTATTTATAGGGTACTATATTAGGGTCTCCTACTTTCAGAAACTCCGTTGCAGAAGTGCGCGGGCCTGGATCTCAGACTGCTGGTGCTGCCGAACATCAAACTAGGGACCCAAACAGCACATAAGCATAAGCATTCTAAGGGGATATCCCTACCTTATTGGGCTTCATCATAAGTGGGTTTACATGGGACATCCTTAACAGTATTAGTTTTGCTTATGTGCTTTTGGGGGCTCCATCAAACACGCGACCGCCCCAAAGGTTCCCATATCCGATGACGGCGTTGCTGCATCTTGGATGGTGTGCAGACCAGGGTTTATGGTAAACTCGGGGTTTAGTGGCTTAGGGGTTTAGGGATTAGGGGTTTAGGGGTTTAGGGCTTATAGTAGAAGCCCAAGAGTTGGAATCCCGAAAGCCTCAATCCTTACAGAGTAACGTAAAGGGAATCCCAGCACTAATTGTCCTTAATCCGGTTTCCACCTTTTTGGTGTCTACAAAATTGAACATGGGTAGCTGTAAGTGGGGTTATACATGTGGGTGGTTGTCCAAATTGGGCCCCTTGTTGGGTACCATAAATAATAGGTGCCTTAGTATAATATGGGCCCAAAAAGGACCAAAAGTTTCACAACCACCCATGTGGCAACCATAATTAGAACCCATAGTAGGAACCTCCAAGTAGGGTTTGGAAGTGCTACAAGCCTCTGTTGAAGCCTCAAAGTAGCTCCTTTTGTGGATTACCTTATAGGATTCTATATATGAGCCCCGAAAAGGAACTACTTTGGGGCCTATGGGTAGACCCTATTCTAATGATTAAGGCCCCTATATTATAGTACCCTTATAGATCCCTTATAGTACCCCCTTAAGGAACCCTTTAAAGGGAACCCCAAAAAGGAACTACTTTGGGGCCTATGGGTAAAAACCTAAACCCTAAACCATATAGATCCCTTTGTAGGAACTCTATAAGCCCCTATAGATCCCCTTTTAAGGAACCCTAAACCCTATGGGTATGTTGAAGCCTCATGGTCGATCAGTGGGTTGAAGACTCCAGGGCTTTGGGGTCGACTCGAAGGTTCTTGAATAGTTGGGTTTAGGGTTTAGGTTTAGGGTTTAGGTTTAGGGTTTAGGTCTAGGGTTTAGGTCTAGGGTTTAGGGTTTCGGCTAGCTTTGAGGTTTAGGATGTATATAAGATTCGGGCTTTAGGGCTTGTATTGGGGTTATATGAAGCTAGAAGTGCATCTGCCAGCATTGCTCTCCTACAAGCAGGTTTTTGTTGGTGGGAATCCGGATCTGAGCTGGTTGTACCTGTGGGACTCAGGATCTGGGGGGCACATGGGAGAAGCGGCTCAAAACAAATAGCAAAAAGTAACAGATAGTTTAGAAGGGGCCGCCACCCTGTAATAGTGGTATAATAGCAATAAGTAGGGCCCTAATATAATCCTTTTAGTCACTATTACAGGGTGGGGGGCAGCTTCTAACAGATAGTGCGGATAATACTGTTAATAATGAGGCCAAGATATTTGCAAGCATTGTTCAGCGGGGTTGCTGAATCTACTCGTACTACAATATACCCCAGAAGCCTATTCTATTCACTGTGGGCTTCTATATTAAGCTCGACCCCATGTTGAATTGACGACAACGCTGGGGGAAGTGATCAGGATCCCGGTTCTCACACTTTTCTACATTACGGAAACTCTCATGTACCCCAAGGCCCCATAGTAGTTCCTTTTTGGGGTTCATATTTAGAATTCTATAGGGTAATCCCAACAGGAACTACTTTGGGGCCTATGGGTAGTTCCATCGTATACTATGATATCCTACAGTCGACTGTAGAATAACGTAGTAAATTGCAATGTCTATATATACATACCTACCTACCTACGTACGTGCATGTGCACACGACTGTAGCCCCACGCGCGCACACACAACTCATGCACGTAGGAGAAGCTCAGGATTCAGAAACCTCCCATCCATCTCTCTCTCTGTCTGTCTGTACATCGTACACAAGCCGAAGCATGTCCGTAAAGTTATGTATTCATTGCCGTATGTTTGTGCATGTGTGCTTGATTTATAACGGATGTACAACTGAGGCATTTAAGGGCGAGCCTAGACCATGCCCCCGCATGTCAAAGCGGCTGCGATGTCTCGGTTTTATTTGGACTCTGCCCTTTGCAAACCCATCGCGCACCCCAATCTGCCGGCCATTCCAGGAAAATTGATCCGTGCCCAACGCTTCGGAAAGACCGAAATGTCCGAAACGAAAGAGGGGCCCGACACCCTGATCCCGAAGTGCACGGCTATCTTAAAACCAACGGCCTGGTATCCAAATTTATAAACCGCGACACAAAGCTGAGAGATGCAAGGCATGAGGCTCTGATGAAAGACGCAGCGCAACAGCTCGGTAAAGCCCGGGCGGCTCAGGCATTGAGGGGCTGATGGGTTTAGGGTCTATACATGGTGTTGGTATATGTGCGGATGTTACGGGGTGTTGGAGGTGTTTGCAGGTGTTTCTCCAAAGCCTTAACAGCTAAATCCCTAGACAGAGAGATACCTTCATAAACTAAGCTATAGATGGCAAAGCTGAGTTTGTGCTAAAGTACCACCTGGGTTTGCTAGGTTAACCTGTGGAGAATATGGCCTGGGGTTACGGAGTTCTTTTTATCAAATTGTATATCGAAACATAGGGCGTTCTCTGCTGAACTGCGTTGGCTGTTTTGTATCGGTTTTAGTATTTTAAGCCCATCTTATCAATACCCTATTCTTGTGTTGTTCAGGATATATTGTGTTTTAATGCAAGTTTGTGTGTGTCTGTCTGTCCGTCTGTCTGTCCGTCTCTCCGTCTCTCCGTCTGCCTGCCTGCCTGCCCCTAAACCGTAAACCCTAAACCCTAACTGTTTCAGTGGGTGGTCTGCGGGCTGGACTGCGAGCTCGAGCTCTGAAAGCTGTTGGCCCTTGCAATGCAGGGCCTGCGGGGAGTGCATCCAGCCGCAGCGCAAGCCACGCCACCGCGGCCAGCACAACCGAAGGTGACTGATCCCTGCAATGGGTGGTATTCGCGATGTTTGAATCAGTACGGTCTTGCAAAAGTCTTGCCTATAGAGCTAAAACTTACTGTTTCCAAGTGCCGAAAAATCACCTCCAATTAATCAGCGCCTGCCAGACGTAGAGCCCGCAAACTAGGAAGCCCGTGTCCTACAGCTCGAATGCTTAATCCTTCTTCAGAGAAAGAGCACAGTAGTGATAAAGTAGGTGGTATGATACCGTATTAATCACAACTTATCCGTCTCCATGAATGTATGGTTGTATGTCTGTGGCTCTAAATGTATGCATGCTTGTATGTATAAGCTGAGGTGATGTCGGTCACTGAGCTAGAGGCTCAGATGATGTCTGCGGAGTCCCAGCGGCAGGGCCAGGTCCGTTCCCAGCATCATCGGGAGAGGCCGGTGAGGCCGCAAGCCATGAGCTTGAGCACCACTCCGAATCTCGGCACCTGCGAGAGCATCGTTTTTTTTAATTTTCTGCTCCGGGTTTGGTGCAGAAAGAATGGCGTGTTGCTGTAAGGCTTGCATTCTGTGTTGGTTGTCGTGCTCTCGTTTGTAGTAGAGCTTTCCTACCATGGCAAGACCGTTTCCAGTACATAAAACCCAAACAAACGGATGCTTCAAGGTTCGCCGATTCAATCATTCGGAAGCACTTTCAGCTTCAGGGATCGCACATTCTAAATCAAAGATCTTCCGCAGGGTCAAATTGAAGCGCCCAGATGCCTATGAAGGCTACGATGCAGCAATGTAAGACCTGAAGGTACCTAGGTTCGGGAGAGCTGGGAACCCAGCATGCATTTTGGCTGGGATTGATGTTGCGGACGCTGCAGTTGCAAGAGTAATGGGCTCAAAAAAACCAGGCCGATGCCTGGTTTGGGGGCCACCCCGCAGATGCCGCTGATGTACAGCCGCTTGCGGCCGCAGCTGGCACCAGAGTCTCGAGAGGAGCCATCACGGCCCCAACCTCCAGCAGCTTGTGCCGCAAAAATGCACCAACACCGACGTCCACACATTCCTCCTTCCATGTCGGCGAAGCAGTGCATGGCCAACTTTAGTTAGTTGGTCTTAGTTGGCAGACAGCGCACATCTTGCCCCTTATGCTGCCTTACGCACCCTTTCAACAAGTGGGAGTTTCCGAAAATTGTGGGCACCTTGTTTTGGGGTCGTTATAGTAAGGACCCAATTATTTAGGGTACTATACTGCGGTCCCCTATTTTCGGAAACTCCCAAGTAAGTGCAGCTCGTGCTTGTGCGCAGGTCGCTGTGCCGGCTCCCCCTCCTGTGCCAGACGAGCTCGAGCCCTTGCACGAGGTGTCCTGCCCGAAGGAGTAATGTAGGAACCTGATCAAGGAACCGCGGGTCTTTATCAGGGCTCCTATTATGAATCCTACTATTTGGGGCTTATTAGGGCCAGGGATTCTTAATCAGCTTCCTACATTACCACAAATCCTCAAAAGTGGCGACGATGACAAGGAATCTGTGCCGCCTTTGGGCGTAGAATGCCGAGGCCGAAACAGCACCCCGCTTCAGATATGCAATGCTAGGCAGGACCTTGCCTGGAGTAGCACAGTAGATGTGAAAGTCAGGACCAACCAGTTGTCTTATGGACCTTCCATTTAAAAGGTGCAGCCTCTGTAAGACAAGATTTCAATACTGCAAAAGCATTCTCATTCAATGTCTAATCTGTCTGTTGCATTATGTTACACGCGCTGACATCTCCATGGCCCCGTATTCTATCAACCCTCTGCACAACACAAAGCATTTCTCGTATCCCCACTGTGCTCCCGAGTGACTCAGCCTTAACCCTATGTAGCACTTTGAATAGGGTTCCTTGAACTGATTCGACGCTCTTTTCGTAGGGCTTTAAAAATTCGAAGAGGGTTCTGGGGGGGTGCACGACACAATATTAGAATAAGGAGCCCAAAATGGTATAGGTAAACTATTTAGGCCGTTGTCTTTGACAAATCCCAATTGCCTGAACGGCAGGTATTTGCTTCAATTCCACCCCTCCGAAAAGCTCCATGAACCAGCCAAGCCTGTCTAACCTCAACTCTGAACTCTTGGAACTCCCAAACCCAAAGGGTCCAAGTACCATTATAGTAGGTACTTAGGTTGTATTTGGGCCCCCAAAGTATAGACCATACTATTACTTGGACCCTTTGGGAAACCTATTTAGGTGTTAGAATATGTCGCCTTCAACCGTTTGGGCTTCTATTCGTTTTCAGCTCCCTAGCAAAGCTGGACAAGTGATCCTAAGACCCCCTACAGTAAGCTCCATAAAGTTGGAAACCGACTTAAGGCCCAATAGTGCTGTGATTCCCTATACATTACTCGTAAGGATTGAGGCTATTGGGTTTCCAACTTTTGGGCTTCTACCATAAACCCTAAACCCTATATAGAACCCTTATGGATCCCTTTAAGGTTCCCTTAAAGGATCCCTTTAAAGGAACCCTAAACCCCTAAGTCCTTCGACTTTGCAAACAAGGAGCCGGTAGAAGAGCCGGCCCTTCCTGCGGAACCGGTTGCATCGATGCTGGGACGTTTCATATCCGAGAATCCTTTGTTCTGGAGCCTAAACCCTAAACCCTAAACCCTAAGCCATACGAGTCCTGCTTGGCTTTTGTGTTCTAGAGTCCTAGAATCTTCTAGGCATCCTTCCTGGGTTTAGGTTTTGAGCAGTACTAGGCATGCAACTCGTGAGACATGAATTCTTCACGCCTGCTTTCTGTGCAGATAGTTGTCAGACGGAGTGCTTCCCACTTGTTCTTGTAGAATCATTGGTTTAGGTGCAGCTCTAGGAAATAGCCTCCAGTGCTTAGGTTTAGGAGGCGCGAACCACTTGGCTCTCTACGACATGCCTTCATGGAATTGTCCTCCTCCTTGACTGCGGCACAACTACAAGTTGCAAGTCTTGGTCCGGCATGCCGGAAGCCAAGCTCTCCATCCGTACACAATATAGGGCCAAAGACAGCCCTGTGCAGAGTACGGAGTGACCCTGTCGGGCTTTGAGGCTTAGTGTAACCCAAAGGGTCCTATGTACTGTTATGGGGGATACTTCCCTGAGTCATAATAGTAATTCCTAATATGGAGACCCTATACATTCTACTATATCGGTACATAGGACCCTTTGGGTAAGAGCCTCAAAGTCTCTTGACGACTGGATTCAAGTAGAGACCTCAGGCCTGTAACTTTATCATCATCTTGAAACCCATAAACCCTGAACTCTACACACATACACATATGTAAGTTCGCGTCAAACAAAAAAGATATCAACCATGAACATACGATGTATCTATATATATACACACATGTATATAAACCATGAACATACGATGTATCTATATATATATATATATATACACACATGTATATATATATATATATATGTATGTATATGTATATGTATATGCATATGTATATGTATATGTATATGTATATGTGCGTGTTTGTACGCACAAGTGTATAATTAGCGCGTGTGTCTATGTATATGAGAATACATACATACATATATATATATATATATGTGTATACACATATGTACACACATGTGTATATATATATATATGTATATACATATATATATATATATATATATACATATACGAAAATAAACATGTTTGTAAGCACGCAGGCACGCGCGCACACACACACAAACACACACACACACACACACACACACACACACCCGCACACACACACACACACACACACACACACACACACACACACACACACACACACACACACACACACACACACACACACACACACACACACACACACACACACACACACACACACACACACGCACACACCCACGCACACACACAGACACACACACAGACACACACACACACATCTATCTACATACCTAGCGAGCCAGCTGACTCCCGCTGGCTATCTATCTACCCATCTATGTATCTATCCTTAGATCTATCTATACATTTGTAGCTATACGTGTGTGTATATCTATCTAGCTACATATTATATATACATGTTCTGAATGAAATCCAAGGAGAATCTTCCCATTTACTTGGCAGCACCGTGATGCTATCCTTGCGGGCCATGCAGAGGAAGCTCATGTGAAGCCGCTTCTTGGACCGGGGAATTCAGCATGTCTGGTTAATTACCTCCAAAGGTCCAAATTAGCTACGAAATCCGGTGCCCGGGTGTGAGAGAGTGGCTGTTGCAGATATCTGTTCTGACGAGTATTTGTGATTAGGGTTAGCGCCCGCCTCGAGCCACATAATGCATTTTCTGGATGTGGTGCATCCGGAATATACAAAGGTTGAGGGAGTCAATGCTCTTTTCATAAATATCAGTCTATATCGTTCTATATCTATACCTGTATCTGTAACTGTATATTCAAATATAATTACTTGTGTATGTATGTACTTGCCTTTTGCAGACATCGATACATACCTACCAGCCTACCTACCTACCTACCTACTTACCTACATACATACATACATACATCGCGCACACAGATGCGAAGGGACAGTGGCGCTTGCAAGCGAGGGCCAAGTGAAGCCTTTCGAGGACTCCTGTAGCAGGTCCGAACCCACACTAGCTGATGTCATGTAGTGGAATCGTGTTTTCATCGCTGAGGGTTTTGGTGTTCCGTGGTCAAGGTTCTGCTCAGGTGTGTAGGTGAGGCGTAGCATCGAGTTTGACATCTGCGGCTCAGGATAAGCGGACTGGGTCAGCCATTGTAGGTCTCCCTCCACGTTCTGATACGCTTTTCCTTGAGCCGAACGATCGTTAAGTCCTCGAACTTACCCGGAGCCCAGCTACCGATCTAGTAGGTGCATGTTAGTACCCATGACCTGGGCTTAACTCGACTAGAAACTCCAGTCTCTGCACCTTCGATGCCATTTTGGGTTAAAGTTAAAGCTTTTTTAACTTGGCGAAGTGTTGTTCAGGGGGTCCTTAGAATAAGAAACCTGCTACTGGGGGTTTAGTTTCGTGTGTTGTCTCTTCACTACTAATTAAATTCCTCGGGTTGTGGCCAGGTCCCTTGGCGATGTATCGTTGACATAGAATCCTAGACCCGAAATGACAACTTGCGCCAGGTTTCTGCAGCCTGCCGGGAGGCAGCACGTAGGCCTCATGACAACCAGCGACAAGGAGCTGATTGTTCGCATTCAGCTGCGCCTAGCCTCTGTTAGAATGCTTTACTGATCCGTGCATTTTAAGAAGTTTGAGGCTTCGATTTCGAGTGGCGTCATGGTCTTTTCTTGCGCGTTTCAGATTCACCGGTCTGAGACCCATTTTTACCACACCATGCAGGAATGAAAACCCTATACCCTTCACAGGAGTCCCAATCGCAGTCTTCTAAGCCGATGAACCTTCGGAGGGAAAAAAGAAGGGGCATCGGCTTGCGATAGCAGTGGCAGTTCATGGGTTCAAGCACTGTTTATCCCAAAGCGGCCTAGACCTGATTCTTCCTGAAATCCTCAAAGGCTTACACCCACAAGCTTAATTTCATAAACTTCTATGACAACCCACATTGTGAATCTGTTGCGGCTCACACACCCAAAGTTCTCATAAACTCCCAAAATGACAACCCGTATTATTATTCCTAAATCTGTTTCGGCTTACACACCCAAAAACCCCTTCTTCTCAGGAATCAGATGGCCGCCATTGGTGAGCAGACGGGTCATAAGCTATATCAGCACAGAAAGCCACCGGAGCCTGTCCTAGACCAGGCCGAGACATAAAGCGTTAGTTAAGGATTTTATCGGTTGGGGCTAGGGTTTCTGGGGTTTTAGGGTTGAGGGTTTAGGGGTTAGAGATTAGGGTTTAGGGTTAAACGTTTAGGGTTTGGGGTTTAGTGAGTTATGGTTCGGGGAGTCTGGGATGTACGGCTTAGGGACTTGGGGAGCTGTGGCTCCTGGGGTGAGGTTTTGCAACGAACTGTGTAGAACTGAGATTGCTTTGCCTGCCATATCGCCGACCTCAAGACAGACGTGAGGGCGGGCTTGGGGTTGAGGGATTTAGGAAATTAGGGCTCGGGATGCTTTTGGTTTGCTTTGAAGTGAAGATGAAGATCAGGATGGCTACAGAATCGGGTTTTTGGTGCTTAAAAATCTAGGGCAAGGGATACTCTGATCTTTTAGGGGTACCCGGCAATTCGAAGAGGCCTGGATGCAAAGGGAAAGGGATGTTGGGCGGAGCAGGGGGGGAAGTAATGTTTACAGGTCCTGCTATAGGGTTGTGGGATAGAGGCTTTATGAAACGGTGTAGAGAGAATGAATTCCCTAAGGTTTATGTTCCCACACGGAGGCGCATGGTGTGCCGAAGATCCTCAACGTAAAAGTGCGAGCATCACACTGTTTAGGGTTCCAGCCTTTGCGTTGTCCCTCCGGACGCCCATACTTCATTGAAAAACAAGTGTTTTAAGCGTCTCTGGCAAGCGTCTCAACACATGTGTCGACGCTTCATGCCCGAAGGCAGCATCCTCGCTCCAGAACACTGCAGCTTTGTTATGGACCTGTCATCTACCCTGAACCAACAGCCACAGAACAGACTGAACTTTACATATAATGGAGCATGATAGATGTATAGTCGAATATGTATATATATATATAACATTCGAATAGATATTTTTTTACGGCAGTAGTATATACCCTCACACACATGCACCCACCCGAAGCACCGAAAGCATTTAGCCCGGAACAGCCGAAGAAATGGATCCGAACCGGCGAAGCAGCGTGATGATGACTGCGAACTGCAGGGGCTTTTGCATGGACATCCCGGTACCGAAGGGCCAGGTGGAGGGACAGGTGGGCTTGCTAGTGCTTGGGGTCATGGTCTGTACTGGCTTGGCAGCAGAAGTTCAGATCTCAAGGAGCAAGGAGGTTCAGAGGTGAGATGTGCAGGGATATCCCTACCCTAATTTGTGCTTAACCTTGGCAGGCGATCCTATGCAGCACGCCAGGCCGTCGCAAGAGAGGTTTTCGAAGTGTCCAAAGCGTCCTAAGAGCCTCTAGGGTTCCTTAGGGTCAGAGGTTCCATAGCGGTCTCCTGGTTTCTTAGATACTTGCTCTCCTGGTCCACAGTGGGATGCCTTGATCAGCCATTTTAACTTATGCATCTTCGCAGCCGGTGCAAAGAATGATGCGCATAGGTTCTTCTGGGTTTAGATACTCATGGGGACCTTTAGGGGGGTAGGGGGAGGGGGGGAAAAGGCCTTAATGTTAAGGACCTCATAAGGCCTATTTTTGGAAGTATAGGATAAGATACGATTGACGGCTTGGGTTGGGCCTGTTTGCGATCGACTAGCCAAAGACGATTCGCCAATAACGTACACGCTGTGGGATTTAGCAGGGAGGCCAGACCTAGAGTTGAGTTTCAGATTTCAATCATTTCTACCATGTATTCTCTGCATTATCTGGCTGTTGCAACGATGTGCCTGCTTCGGGCTACTGCGGCTTTTCACGTGGTATTGAGGGGCCGGCAGTACAATGTGGAATGTAGAGGTTAGGCTTGTCTGGGCATCAGGGGCTAAGTGTTTGGAGACTTCAGGCTTCACGTCGTATTCGCCTCGTTGGTGCTTTTTGACTCTTTCTGGTTAATGCACGATGATTCTGATTGTGTTTCACTATGCTAGAGGTGAATAGGCCGAACGCTAGAAAGGCATTGGTACTTGTCATAGCTTCAGATTCAGCGTACCTGAGTGTAGGGCTTGAACGTCATGTATCAAGTGCATGGGCTGGACACGACGCTCACAAAGGGGCTGCGTGCTGGGTTTGGAGGGAGATTTATTACTTCAGCGTTCAGCTCTAAAGTAACGAATGTGCTTTTAAAACAAGGATACGACCCTCAAAAAATGGTACAATTATCATGTTTAAGATACTCGTACCGTGGTTAATTGCTCGAGGCAAGGCCTAAACTCCTAAAGCCTAATGTTTTTTGTGTTGTCAGCCTGATGGTTTGAGATTTGGACTGACAGGTTGAAAAGCTGTTTACCCGTATAGTCGCCATATGAATGTAATATAAGAGCTCTTACTTGAAGCCTATTGAACCTCAGTCCGTAGACCAAACTTCTCATATTCAAAGGTCCGGACTGGACAAATGGCCTCGGGATTGGAGCTCGACAGTGCTTTGAGCAGATACACCGTGGGGTTAGGGGCTTGGAGGAAAAGATGAACAAGTTTACCTACAAGATCAAATCATGACGGTACTGCCCAAGACGGTCGTTTGAATGACGCAGCTTGATTCCTATTCTCGTGCTGGTGCATGTACCCATAGGCTCCATCGTAGCTCCTTTTTGGGGTTCGTATTTGGAACCCTATAAGGTAACCCCAAAACGGATCTACCATGGAGCCTTAGGGTATGCAGGTTGCTTGAAGCCTCCCAGCCGTCTGCGGGCGGCCCCGACATGACTGCAGATGAGGGAGCGTGAGGCTGCTGTTTTTCTCATACTCTGACCCGTGACATCGTAGAAAGAAAAATATATATGTATATAAGTAAATATGTATGTAGAAATCATGAAGTATGTATACACGAAATTAAGTAAGTAGGTAAGTATGTATGTATGTAAGTATGTACTTATGCATGCATCTGGATGATTTGACCGTATTCAGGAGGCCCATTGTGCTTGCGCTTGCCATGTTGCGACGGCAGTTCGCAATCTTTTGACTCTGGTACCGGATACCATCCCAAAGGGTCCTATGTACCGATACAGTAGAAGGCAGGGTTTCCATATTCGGAATTATTATTCTGACTTAGGGAAGTATACCCCATAGCAGTACATAGGACCCTTGGGGCATGAGAACTTCTTCTCCTAGGGTTCCTGAAAGGGGTCCTTAAAGGGGTCTGTAGGGGTTCCTTAAAGAGATCTATAGGGTTTAGAGTTAAGATACCATGAGAACTTTAACTCCTAGGAGAGCTCCAAGTTCCACGAGATGTTTTGCATCAGTAGACCGTCGTGCAGGAGCGGGCGTCGGCAATGGAGCACCAGCTTTAAAACGGCTTCCACAACAAAAGCAATAAACGCAAGACGAACCTGTTTTAGAAGCCTGAAAAAATACAAATACTATTCCTGACAGTTCAAAATTACATTAATCCATACTCCAGAACCCAATTTAATTGTTGCGGGCCCAACATCATGACGAGGCGCTTCTGTTTCTGAGTTCGAACTGAACGTGTCCGTGTATGAGCGTCGAGCAGACTTCTTAGACGGAATCGTCAAGTCAATGTGTGAATGTCTCAGTGCCTTCGCGGTCAAGCGTTGCTGTCGCGAGCTCCGCCGATTTCACCTCCTCCCCTGTCCGAGTGATGTTTCAAGGTCGGTGGAAAGGCCGCCGATGTAGAGTCAATTTCATCTAAGTCTGCGAAGGAAAAGTGCCGACATCTTCTGGTTCAAACTATACAACCAAGGACCGTCGCGACACTGCAAACATCAACCCCTAAGACTTATTTAATCCCTACAATAGAACTTTTCATCGTACCGGCCCTAGGAACCCTAAACCCTATAAACCCTAAATGGGAAAATAGGCTTCCATGAACCAATGGACTAGTGACTAGCCACAAAAGCACTCACGTCTCTCTTTTGAAGGGCTTCGGGATGCTTCCGGATTATCCAGAACGTTCGGGTACTGCAAGGGTTTCGGGTTTAGGGTTTTAAGGGTCTGCTGCATGAGCCATTCGGTTCGGGTTTGGGGTTTAGGGCACGGGAGGGATTCCATGATGTTCCATGAAAAAGCTTGGATCCTTCTTACTCCGGGTCTCAACCTTAAGCCGGAATCCGCACAACATGGGTTTGGAGTACCATACTTGGTTACATTTTTTGGTACCTGTTCCTTAAAGAACCATTAAGAAACAAAGGTCTATACCAACCCTAAACCCTAAACCCTAAACCCTAAACCCTAAACCCTAAACCGTTTCTCCCTGGTTACTTCAAAGTCCAGACAAACATCCCAACCCAAGGTCTTCTCAAAGGCCTCTTCACGCATGGTTTGGTGTAGACGAGTGGCTTTGACCAAGAAGGATGTAGGGTTTAGGGTAGGGGTAGGGGCAACGGTTTAGGGTTTCCGCATACAAGTTTCTTTGCCTTCCTAAATATCGATCCAGCAGGCCGTGGTCGGGAAGTTCATAGGGTTCTACACCCTAAACCGTTCTGCCAAGGTAGGGCTTTGGGACATCTTGAATTTGCTCTTATTGGGCTTAAGAGGATTTTACCTACTATTATTTTTCAAGGGCTTTAAAAGCACCTCCTGGCTGCATTCCCTGTTACAAGAGCCTGACTGTTTACCAAACGTGCTCCTACTTTAAGGCCCTCAGATTAGAAACGGTTGAGGCTTTAGGACCGATGGCACGTTCTGGGCAAAGGCACCTAGACCCTTAACTCCTAGCACTCCTAAATTCCTAAACCCTAAATCCTGAGTTGCGAGAGCGTAAACCCTAAACCCTAAGTTCCTAAAACGCCCAGCATCCCTGAACCCAGAAGCCCTACACACCCTCCCAAAGCATGTGAAAATCCCTGAGCCCAAGGCCTTGATCGCTAAAACCTAAAGCCCAAACGCGCCAAAAAGGTTTAGGGTTTAGGGGTTTAGGGTTTAGGGTGGTGCGACACATCCAGGCGGGATTCACACAAGCCTGTGCAAAAAGGGTTTCGGTGAGGACACTAGGGAGCAGCCTTGTCCTTTTTCATGGTTCCCCCAAAAGAATAAACAGACCGGCTAGTAGACCTTCTTAAATAATTCCTACTAAGGGATATAGGTATAGGGCTCTGTCCATTATTTCTAAAAGGACAAGGGTGCTAGGGAGGGGCTAGCCTTCTGGTCTCCCACGAAGCAGTGGCCCGAGCAAGAGAGCACCTAGAAGAAGCCTGGAGTGAAGCAGACGCCACTCCTGCAACATGGCCAGTAGGTGGCGACTTGTCTTCAAAAGTTCAGGGATTAGGGTTTAGGGAGTAGGGTTTAGGGTCAGGGTTTAGGGCTTACGGTCAGTGTTCAAGGTTTAGGGTCTTGGATCTTGCCTCCAGCAGGTGGCTACGGTAAAGTTTAAACGAAAGTCCCCTCACCTTTGGGTCATCGTTTCCACGTTTGGGCGCCCTATCGAGACTGAATAGCAGAAACAAGTCTGAGGGATGCTCTTGTCGCGCTGCAGAGATTGGGTTGCTCAGAGTTTCGGTGGTGCTCCTGGTTTAGGGTTACTTCACTCAGCGTTCGCATTTCGGATTTGTAGACCAATAATCCAGTACTCCTTGGTTTTGGCGGCTCATCCAGACAGAGGTCCCAAAGACTTCCTGAATCCAGGCATGCCTATCTTGAAGCATCATGACTTTCTGTACTGTCAGAACACCACATCACAGACTCCTGGAGTCCTAGACGACCTGCATGAGTACAGACTTGCGCCTCCCAAACCGGACTCCGGGCTTAGGCACTGTTGATGTTGACGACACCATCAAGCCAAATCTCTAGGAATGGGGTTGCGGTTTGGGGTCTAGGGAAATGAGTCCTAAATCCTGAGCCACCCAGATGCCTGGAAACAAAAGCCATTCCCTACCCCAAACTACCTATATAGGGACTACTTTAGGCGCACTGTGTATACTATATGGGTACATGGACGCTTCAACCCTAAGCTTTAAACCCTTATGAAGCACCCTTACGGTACAATTAAAGGAACCCTTTAAAAGGAGCCTATTTGGGCACATGGACCCTTAGGGTTAACCAGGATACAATTTTTTTTGGGGGGGGGTCCTTATTATAATTACAGCATAATGGGCCCCAAAACCCTGTTCTAAGTATCAAGGCCCGGCCCCTATATTAACCAGGATGGAGGAGTTTGCTGGAGCACCAGACCTCGCAGCCAAGACCCGCTTGGAGGACGTTCAGCAGCTGAAGCTCGGCCCATGGTCAGATAGTGGTGACCCAATAATTACTTCTAAAAGGCTATTGTTCTACATACTTTAGGGGCCCGGATATGGCTCGTCATTCCCCCAAACATCGTTGAAATAATGGCCCAATACTTCTAGAAGGCTATTATTCTGAAATTATTCATGCTTTGGGGTTCCGCGGATGTGTATGCATGCATGCATGCATGCATGCATGCTTATGTATGTATGTATGTATGCATGTATGCCTATATATGTATGTACGTAGGTATGTATGTAGGCATGTCTGTCCGTATGTAAGCATGTAAGTATACAGACTACATGTACGTATGCATGTGCATAAGCAGACATATACCTATATATACATATATGTATATATATATATATATATTACATGTATATACATTTCGTATGTACAAACGTGCATGTATATATATATATATATATATATATCCAAATGTGCATTTATATACATACATAACATACATACATATATCCAAATGTATATATGAACCTGAATACATATATACATTTATCATGTACATTGTGTGTGCAAACATGTATGCATGTATGTGTATATGTATATGTATGTGTGTGCATATATAGATATATGTCTTTGTGTATGTGTATATGCATATGCTACATTCAATAGAACTTGTTTCTGTATTTGTATGTGTATATATATATATATACATATTTGTGTAGACGTATATGTATAGATATACATACAAGAGAGAGAGAGAGAGAGAGAGAGAGAGAGAGAGAGAGAGAGAGAGAGAGAGAGAGAGAGAGAGAGAGAGAGAGAGAGAGAGAGAGAGAGCGAGGGACACGGCCACAATGCATGCGTGCGCGCACCAGAGCTGTTTGTCGGTCTGAGCCCCTTGATTCCTCTCGCCGAATAGCTGAGGAAGCGAGGCATCAGTGTCATCGCCTCCCTTGTCCGCCAGTCCATGACTGATTCTGCTGACGTGAAGGGTGCAAGAAGACCAAGGTGACCAAAGGCCGTGAGGGTTGGGGTGCAGGCTATGCAGGGGTGTTATGGGACGTAAAGATCTGCTCAAGGCCCTGAACAGCTTTCAGGAGCTGCCGCTGGACCCTACACCTCGTCCGTTTGATCCGTCTTTTGGTTTAGAAGCCCTGCGCTCCACAACGTTCCTGAAGCGGCTTGTTTTCGGTTTCGGGACAGCGACTTGAGCGAGAGGGCCTTTCTCTGCTTCTAGCAACTACAGGCAAAGAAAATGTAGTAGTACTTGAACCTCGTAGGTGATGAAAACTACCATCATCATTTGTAGTAGTAGTAGTAGTCGTCGTCGTAGTAGTAGCAGTACAAGTACAAGTACTACTAGTAGTAGTAGTAGTAAGTAGTAGTAGTAGTAGTAGTCGTAGTAGTAGTAGTAGCAGTTGTAGTAGTAGTAGTAGTAGTAGTAGTAGTAATAGTAGTAGTAGTAGCAGCAGCAGTAGTAGTAGTAGTCGTCGTCGTAGTCGTAGCAGTAGCAGGGCAGCAGCAGCAGCAGGAGTAGTAGCATTATTGTTTTTTTGTAGTGGTAGTTACTGCCACTTGTACT